TCACAGGGCACTCCGGGGGGGCACGGAGAATGTCCACCAAGGGACACAGCCCCTCTGCAGTGAGGGAATAGTCTACACCTCAGTGACTGTGATGGCGGTCCATGACCCAGTAGATCTACGAGTCAGTTACACCTCAAAAAAGGTAACAGAAGAGAACCTATGCCCCAAGACTCCCCTTTGTACATCAGTTTGTTACAAAATTTTCTATTTGGAAGAAGGCTCCTACTAGCCTAATGAATGAGTATATCATCATCAAATAAAAATAACAGTTACAGACCATAATCCACTCAACAAAATGGGAATTCTTAAATCACACACAGATATACTATAAATATATGTCAATAAGGATACATAAATATACATATATCAATAACTATATCAATAAATATATATACATTTGTGTGGAGGCATGTGTGTTTATAATGCAAAGTTTAATGAAATTTAGTGAAGACTTAAGGTAGCTGTGCACAGAACAGTCGTTCATTAGAAGAAGAGCTGCTGTGGGATGTTCTGTATGGCAAATGTATTGCTAATTAGTCAATAAATAAAACACTGATTGGCCATTGGCTAGGCAGGAAGTGTAGGCGGGACAAGGAGGAGAATAAAGCTGGGAAGTGGAAGGCTGAGTCAGAGAGACACTGCCAGCCACCACGATGACAAACAGCATGTGAAGATGCCGGTAAGCCACAAGCCATGTGGCAAGGTGTTATGTTAGCAAGTTAGCAAGAAGCCTGCCACAGCCATACAGTTTGTAAGCAATATAAGTCTCTGTGTTTATTTGGTTGGGTCTGAGCGGCTGTGGGACTGGCGGGTGTCAGAGATTTGTCCTGACTGTGGGCCAGGCAGGAAAACTCTAGCTACAAAGAGCAACTTCAGGGCGGGAAGTCTGAAAGGCCGATTGTATCTGGTAAAAGGCACAGCCACGGTCACAGGACAGACATGAAATCACATGCCTAAAGGGATCCAACCATCACTCCTGAGCTATCCCTACACACCATCATCTGAATCTCATCACAAGATACAACACAAGCCCCAGGAGAGCGGTGCTGGAGCCTGCGCCTAGCGGGAGAATGCTTGCCTGCCATACGTGAAGCCCTGGGTTCAATCTTGAGAACCAGAAAGTGTTAAAAGACAGCAGGGATTGTGCTACAAAATAATTGCCTGTAACTGTCAAAAATGTCAGGTCACAAAAGTCAAAACGGTTTTTCAGTTTCTTTCAAGGCAAGGTCTCATTAATCCCAGCTGGCCTCAAACTTGCTCTATAGTCAAGGATGACTTTGAACTTCTAACCCTCCTGCTCACACTGTTCTGGAAACCCAACCCAGGGCTCTACCAACTGAGTAACATCCTTACCCCAAAGTAATAATTTGACTGTGCATGGTGACCAAACCTATAATTTCAACACTTAGAGGCCAAGACAGAAGGACAGAGTTGGATGCCAGCCTGGGATACATACCAAAAAACCAATTATAACACATTTTACACATGTGAACAGACACACGTTGGGGAGGGGCAGGCGGGTGTGCAGGCATATGTGAAGGCCTGAAGCCGCTCCACTTTATTGAGGCAGGGCCTCTTGCTGAAGTGTGAGCGCACCAAGCACGGGTGGTGTAGCTAGCTACCGCTGCTTCCTCGGTGCTGGACTTCTGGTGGAGGCCACGCACGCACGCACGCACGCACGCACGCACGCACGCACGCACGCACGCACGCACGCACGCCCAGCTCTTCTGTGGGTTCTGGAGATTCGAACTCCAGTCTTCATACTTACACAGCAAATACTTCCTCTACTGTGTTGTCTCCCCAAGCCCTCAAACAATAATTTTTAAAAAGATTTATTTATTTTATGTGTACACACGTGTGCCTGAGTGTATGAATGTGCACAGTGTGCATGCAGGTGCTCACAGAGACCAGAAGAGGAAATCAGATCCTCTGGCACTAGAGTTCCAGGCAGTTGTGAACTTCCTGATGGGGTGCTGAGAACTGAACCTGGGTCCTCTCCAAGAGCAACAAATGCTCTTAACTGCTGGACTATTTCCAGCTCCCCAAAATAATATTAATAATTATATTTAATTATTATTAATATTATTTTATCGAGACCAAGTTTCTCTATGCAGACCAGGCTGCCCTTGAACTCAGAGATCTGCCTGCCTCTGCCTCTTGAATGATGGGATTAAAGGCATCTGTCATTATCCCTGGCTTAAAATAACAATTTTTAGTATTTAAAAAAAAGTATTCTTGCCGGGCAGCGGTGGTGCACACCTTTAATCCCAGCACTTGGGAGGCAGAGCCAGATGGATCTCTGTGAGTTCGAGGCCACCCTGGTTTACAGAGCGAGATCCAGAACAGGCACCAAAACTACACAGAGAAACCCTGTCTCAAAAACAAACAAACAAAAACCAAAAGGATTCTTAGTATGAATGTTTAAAAGCAGAAGTGCCACAAATTCCATTTTTTTCAAATATGAGCAAAAGCTGAACTGGTTGAACATTCCAGTCTCCGGGCTGGGGAAATGGCTCAATGGGTCAAGCGTTTGCCATGGTCATGAGAACTGAGTCCAGCCCCCAGAATCCACATACAGCTGTACACGACAGCACACATCTGTGAGTCTGGTACTCCTAGAGTGAGATGGGAGAAAGAGAGAACAATCTCCAGAAGCCTGCACAACAGCTAGCCTGGTGTACACAGCAGCAAAGAGAGAGCTAGCCTGGTGTACACAGCAGCAAAGAGACCCCGTCTCAAAAAGACAGATGGTGAAGACTAACAACTGAGGTTGCCCTTTGACCTCCAGATGTGTGCCATGACATGCTTGTGTCCATACTAACACACAAACACAAACATACACCACACACATACACACACACACACACACACACACACACACACACAGAAACCCAAAATGCTCCACAATATTTTGGATCTCATAGAAGCAATGAACTCAGTTTCTCCACAAAGAAGACCCAGCTTTAGAACTGAAGGGAGGTGGGGCTGGGAAGACAGCTGGGTAAGAATACATGCTCTACAAGCATGGGAAGCTGAGTTCAAGTCCCCAGCACCCACATAAAAGCTAAGAACAGCTTTGTGTGCCCATGACCCCAGTGTTACTGAGCTCATACTCACACCCGCACATGCATGCACACACACCACACACACGTCACCCACCACATACACTCATCACACAGATCACATACATACCACACATATACACAAACACACAGATACCACAGACATTACACACACCACGTATACACATCCCAAAATAAGATAGAAGGTCATCCAAAGGCATGGAGTTATGATGCTTTATCACAAAGTTTATATATCAACTCTAACATCAAATCCTAACTTGCTAAATTAAAAATGGCAGGCTTCTAACTTTTCTGTGAGTAGGACATCAAAGTAGATCTAACTCAGATCTTAACTACAGTACCAGGCACTATTGTCTGCAACACTAATTCCACATTGTTTTAAGAAGGCTCTTCTGGTAAATGACTATAGCACCTGAGACTGCGCTAATCTCAGCGCACCAAGACTGTCATCTATGCCTCCAGCCCACCTGCCCCATGAGGCCATCATTAGTCATATGAATCTGGTGGCATGAGTAGTCAAGACTGAGACATGTTTTAAGTATAAAATACACAACAGACTTCAAGACTCAGCACAGAACAATATGGGAACAATCTTAGTTTTGTGTGTTGATTACATGTTGAAATGGTATTATGGTATATCTTGGGTTATATAAGTATTCAAATTATTTAAATGAAGCTGGGCATGCTGGCACATGCCTATGATCCCAGGACTTGGAGAGCCACAGTAAGAAAATCAAGAACTTAAGACCAGGGCTGAAGATATAGCTCAGCTGGTAGAGTGTTTGCCTAGCACAGCATTTACAAAAGTCCTCGGTCCCATCTTCAGTACCCCAATAACCCCAGCACTTTGGAGACAGAGGCAGGAGGATGAAAAGTTCAATGTTATCCTCAGCTATATAGCTTAAGCTGCTCAAGACCAGTTAAGAACCTGTCTCAAAAAAAAAAAAACAAAAACAAAAACAAAACAAAAAGTGAAAGAAAGAAAGGAAGAAAGAAGGAAGGAAAAAGAAAACTGAACAACAAGCTAGATGTCGTGAGATACCTGTATTCTCAGCACTCAGGAGGTACAGGCAGGAAGATTAGGACACTCTGAAGCCACCCTGGTCTACACAGCAAGTTCAGAGCAGCCAGGGCTATATAGACTCTATCTCAAAAACCCTAAGCTAAGGCCATCAGAATACTGACAGGTCAAAGCACTTGTAAATAACTGATGACCTGAGTTCTATTCCCTGAACCCATGGGAGGAGACAACTGACCCTTGAAAGTTGTTCTCTGAAGCTGGGCATGGTGGTGCACACCTTTAACCCCAGCACTCAGGAAACAGAGGCAGGTGGATCTCTGAGTTTGAGGCCAGCCTGGTCTACAGAGAGAGTTCCAGAACAGCCAGGACTACACAGAGAGACCCTGTCTCGAAAAATAAACAAACAAAAAGAAAGTTGACCTCCACAGACATGCTGTGGCACAAGCCATGTCTATATACATACACACAACATACATCCATACAATGATAGTAAGTCTTAAAATAAATACCTTTTGTTTAAATTATATTAAACTTAATTTCACCAGTGTATTTTCCTTTAGTGAGGCTAGTAGGAAACTCTAACTTAAACATGTGGTTCAAGTTACAGTTTGGGGTGATCTCTGTTTTGTTTTCTGATGATGCTGAGGATGGAACCCAGGGCCTGGAACATGCTAGGCAAGTTCTCTTCACACATTTCAACTGGATGCTCAGCCTCTGACTACTTGTGATGTCACATCACCTTCCCTGGTAGACACTATGAAAGAATTTACTCCTGGACTTCCCAGAAGACCGACCTGCACTTAGGCCGAGGCCATTCTTCAAACGCTAATCTTCTCGGGGCTTATCTCTGTCTCTTTATACTCCCTCCAGTGTCACAAAAGCAGGCAATGGAGTACCTGGAACTCTGATGCGCTGCTCCGCAGCTGGCTCACGTTAGGTAGGGATCCCCCGTGGTACTGTGTAAGGCGCAGTTGCTGAAGCTTCTGAAACTGAACCTGGAAAGACAGTGATTTCAAGAATGTTCAGCAAAATCGGAAAGAGGCATCCAAGTACAGTATTTTGTAGAATGCTTTAAAAAAAAAAGTCTTGGTTTCGATTTCTTTTTCTACTTAAGTGACCACAATCTTCAGGTTTCCAGAGCTTTCCGGGATCTGTCTCATTTGAGTTTTGTTTTGAGATATGGATCCACACAACTAGGATGACCTTACGCTCACTACGTAGCTAAGGATCCTGAGCCTCCTGCCTCTAACTCCTAAGTGGTAGGATTACAGGCGTGTGCCACCACAGCCTGGCTTAGTTTCTTTCTGCTTAGTTTCTTTATGTTTTAGAAAGAATTTATGAATATCCCAAATGTCCTACACACCATGGTGTGTAGGCATGCAGGCACAACATTTAACAATAAAGACTTTTTAAAAGAAAATTAAGCTATCTAAAAACCAAAAACATTGTTTCCTTTCCTTCTCCACAGACTTCCCCAATCCCATGTGCATTTATGTGTCATAACTATGAATGAGGGGTCATAGCACAGATATAACTTGCTGGGGGATTTGTTTGTTTGGTTTGGTTTTTTTTCTTTCTTTCTTTTTTTTAGCTGGATTCTCATATAGTTAAGCTAGCCTAAAACTCATTATGTAGCAGAGGCGAGCCTTGAACTCCCAATACCCCAACCCCACTGCCACATCTCCTTCCCAAGTCCTGGGATAGCACCACCACTCAGCCAACATAGGTACCATCTTGCATACTTACATCATGAGCCTTTTCGAGACCATTTTCTCTCTCTCTCTCTCTCTCTCTCTCTCTCTCTCTCTCTCTCTCTCTCTCTCTCTCTCTAATTTTTAATGGCTATGTAACACTTATTTTCCTGAAATCTAACTCATTCTAAGTGTGAGTGACTATTCAGTCTCTAGATATGGACTCATCAAAGGAGGCCACGGCAGGCTAATAAGATAACTTAATGGTGGGAGGACTTGCCACCAAGTCTGATGACCCAAGTTTGATCCCCAGGCTCATACGGTGGAAGGAGGGAACCAACTCCAGCAAGCTGTCCTCTGACCTCCACATGTGTGCCATGTGTGCACGTGTGCACATGGCACGCGCGTGCACGCGCACACACACACACACATTTGTAACACAAATATTTAATGAAGGAGGCCAAGCAAGCAGGCATCAAGCAGTAGCCTATGGATTTCCCAGCTTCATTCTTACTTTCAGAGGGCAGTCAACCGTCATGGCTCTTCTAAGCCTCACAGTGATGCAGTTTGCTCTTCATGAGCTCTGCTTCTAAAATAATACATTAACTGTGAATTATACAACCCTTGACTTACAATTCATACAAGGGAGAAAGGTCCTAGAGAGACGCCTGAGGCAGATTCTTACCCTCCCATTACTCTATCCTTTGATTATGAAATGAAGTACACCAGACCTGAGCCCTTAGGGTAGGCCAGGTGTTGTCCTTAGATACCTGGTCCACTTCACCCTTAGCTTTCTGCACAATAATGCAGAGAAACTGCATTACCCTGCATTTACAGACCGGAGAACCCAGATGCAGGTAAGTTCAATGTCCTGCCCAAGGCCAAGCCACAGCTGCTTCATTCAAAACCCACACTCCTATTTCTACCATGCTCTGTTTCTGTTTTCCATTTCTCCCTTAATGATTATACTATTTATTATTATTATTTAAAATATCTGATACAGTGTAGGAGCTGGAGTAACGACTCAGCAGTTAAGAAAGTGTATTGTTCTCGCAGACGATCCAGGTTCAGGCGCCAGACCTCTATCAGGCAGCTCACAACGTCCTACAATTCCAGTTCGAGAGCCTCCGAGAGCACTTCCACACACATAAACTCGCACAGGCACACATACACATAAATTTTAAAATTATCAAAAATTATCTAATACAATATAAATATTCTGTAAGTATGATGGTAAGGAAATTATGACAAGAAAAATTCAATGACCATATGATTTACAAAGTCTGAAAGATTCACAATTCATTGTGGAGCCTATGAATCTCTGATCTATGAACACCTACTATGAAAGCTTTCAGATACACAGAAGATAGAAATGACGGGAATGAAATCATCTTCTATCTATCCAACAGCTTCTATGATTACCAACTGAGACATCATCATTGCCTCCTTCACTACCTTTGGTACCCTAAGAGAAATCCCAGACGTGATGATATTCCTTAATTTAATATGCATATTCAAAAATAAGTACACATATTTGTTTGTAAATTTATTTTTTTTTATTTTTTTTTTTTTTGGTTTTTCGAGACAGGGTTTCTCTGTGTAGCTTTGCGCCTTTCCTGGGACTCACTTGGTAGCCCAGGCTGGCCTCGAACTCAGAGAGATCCGCCTGGCTCTGCCTCCCGAGTGCTGGGATTAAAGGCGTGCGCCACCACCGCCCGGCTTGTTTGTAAATTTTAAAGGCATATGAGGAAGCCCCTGGGTGTCTTCAACTTCCTTATACTCACAGTACTTGATTTCTCAATATGCTGTACAGGGAGACATATTAATTATGTTGTATATATTAATCAAAACCTCAGATCTCATAGTCAAATCTGAAGACTCAGTAAGCTATTTCTGCCTATGAGCCAAGTTTAAGAATAAGCCAGCTTTCCACTTACCATTCTAAATGCACTTACTAGAAGCATTTGACCCCCAATCCTTGAAATGCTACAGCAGGATTCTTGGTTACCTTCATCTAAAGCCTTTCATTCCTTCTTCAAAGAATCACCCAATCCATTTCATTTATATAAAGACTTAATTGTGTGTTAGATTCGATGCCAGACACAAACTTACAGCGTACACACCTGCCAAAGCTCCTCCCTCCTGAGAGTTCCCACAAAGGTCAACCCTTACCCAAAAGCCTTGACACTTGAGCCAGGCTCAATTATCAAGCCAGCTGGGGACCTGCCTTCAACTGTACTTGAGGCCCTTGCAGAGGACCCCACAACTGCTTGCCCTCTGGAGGAGCCTCTCTCCAGAACCTTCAAAGGCTGTGTGACACCAGAGCGAGCTCTCATGTGGCCAGCCGAGTCATCCCGTGCCCTTCACAAAGGATATGAGGGTAAATATAAAAATCCGATGGTGTTATGTGAATTATGGAGACCTGGACAAGTTCTCGGGCTACCACTTCTGTAGATGTTCTCAGCTACCTCTAAAACCTTGGTTATTTTGACACTTGCCTCTTTTGAAATTCTGAATCATTAAACTAGAAGGAAACTTGAGACTGAATTCAACACCTCCGTGCTTACAGATGCTGAAAATAAGGGCTGAAGAATGGCTAGACTAAGGCAGAGGTCACAGACTGGCAGCCCTCAGGGAGTTCTGACTCCATCAGTGTTTTCAACTTCAAGTTTAGAACCTGGGAGTCTGCATAAAATCCAGACTTCTAACTTTACTGACTGAAAGAGCAAACAACACTAAATTTGTGTGTGTGCGTGTGCGTGTGCGTGTGTGCACGTTCATGCATTTTGAACACGTAGTTGTGCATTTGTGTGGGCAGTTTTCAGAAAGCAGAGTTGACCATCTCTTTCCCCATGTGGGTCCTGGGGACTGGACTCAAGTCAGCAGGGTGGCCAGCAAGTGCCTTTATCGGCAGAGCCGGCTCACTAGCCCTAACTCATATTCTTGCCCGACAACACTGCTCCTCACCCAGGGCCGTGATTGTTTGCCCCAGGCCTCCATAAGCCCTGTCATCCACCTCTGTGGCTAAGGATTAGCTACCTTTTGCCATCAATTCCTGGTCCTTCCATTCATTTTCCTTATCTACCTCACGCTGAAACAATCATTAGCATGATCTGGCCTACGGTCACACACTTTAGTAGAATTTCTTCTAATGCCTGTATAAATGAGACAGAACCTGCTCTAATTCTTTTCTGGAAAAGTCTCACAATAGTCAACACAATCCTAATCAAAATCCCAGCAGGGAGCTGGGAGCATAGCTCAGCGGCAGAGCACAGTTTAGCATACTGAAGGTTTAATCTCCAGGACCAAACAGAAATAAAAGTGAAAAAAAATGCAGCCAGTCTTATATTTATAGATTGACAAGATAATTCTAAGATTTATGTAAGTACAAATGGCCCAGTTTAGCGGGAAATATTTTTAAAGATTTATTTTTTTAATTATGTGTCTATGTAGGGGAACGAACACATATGAGTGCAGGTGCATACAGAATCCAAAAGATCACTGGGTCCCCTGGAGTTGGAGTTACAGTCAGTTATGAGCTGTGGCTGCTGGGAACCAAACTTGGGTCCTCTGCGAAAGCAGCACATGCTCTTAGCCCCGGAGCCATCTCTCCAGCCCCGAGAGTAATTTTTAAGAAGGGCTAAGTTACAAGATTTAAGTTAATAGTTTCAAGATCTACTATAAAGCTATAGTAACCCAGAGTGCCGTTGTAAACAAGTCTAGGGTGGAAATAATGGCTGAGTGCTAGGGTACTGCCTAGCATGTATGAACCCTTAGGTTCAATCCCAGGAGGTGGGGTAGAGAGAAAGGTCAGGAAACGTGACAGAGTACAAAGACAGACGAATGGACAGACAGACAGACAGACACACACACACACACACACACACACACACACCCCTTTACTAGGGAAAAGATTTTGAGCACACAGACATCAGTGTGCCACCCGGATTCAGTACCAGCTCTGCCCTTACCAGCCTTGTAAAGAAACGTCCCTAAGCCTCAGTTTACTCCATTCACAAAATGATGGAAAATCTAGACAGATAAACCACAAGGTCATTTTGAAAACTGTGTGAGATAAAGAGTGAAGAGATCAGCATAGGACCTGTCACAGAGCCTCAGATTTAAGCCAAACCTGGTCTTTAGGCTTTTTTCTCTACTCTTGGCTCAGAGGCCTCACCATTCTACAGCATACCCATTGCTTGTTTGAACAGAAAACCAAGGAATGCACTGAGCTGGGGGATGTGGCTCACCTGGGGGAGGACTTGTCTAACATTTGAGTCCCCAGGGTTCGCTCCTCAGTGCAG